ATTTAATGCACCAACTATGCGTGGACCTACTTATGTATAGCTATTGTGGTAATAACATGATTGATTTATACTTTTTTATATATCATAATTATAAACACAAATCAATATAATCAATTAATAAATTTGTATTCTTTTTTTTTTTTCTTAATTTGAAAATAAAATTAACAATGAAGATTTTTTAATAGAAATATATATATATATAATATATATATTCAATTCTATATTAAGAATGTTTTTATTGACAAGAAAGTATTCTTTTTGAATTAAAAAAAACATGTGCATATCAACAAAATATTGAATTTTTGTAATGAATGCATTTTTCTAAGAATGTGGGGTTTGCTGGTGATTTTTTGGTAAGTTTATGACGATAAGAACGTACATATTTAGATGGGCCTAATTTAACAGAAGATTCACAATCATACAATTCGTCGTCTGATGACTCTTCATATTCATTATCCGGTATAATCAATTTATCTCGTAATCTCCCTATATTTTTAAATGATAGAACCAATTAAAAAAAATTAAATTAAATAGTAACAATGATCTTGATAATTATTTTTTATATTACTTGATTTTCTTTTGTCTGGATCATCTTTATCAGAATCTTCATATGAAAACTTCCCCCCTGGTATTTCTAATTTTATTTTTTTTTTTTTCAAATGATTAATAAAATTTTCAACAAATATATGTAAAAATAATTTTATATATACCTTGTAATGGTACACTAGGTGTATGCCGTGATCTATCTAGATTTTTAAATACCAAATTCCTAATTAAGAATTCGAATTAGTAAATCAGTTTGTCAAAAAAAATTTTTACCAACCAAGTTGTCAAAAAAAAAAAAATATTATTTTTCTTTGAGGAAAAAATTTTTAATTAAACATTCTTATAGTAAGTAGTACTACATTGTTTTTTCTAAATATTTTCTTGTATTTTTATTTTCCATGTTGCTTGGCAATACATCTAGTTTATACTCTGGTCCAAAATAATCATGAAAGTCATAGTCAGTTCTTGGTGGCAATTCTAAATAAATAAATAACAAATAAATTATATGTATGTATGCATGCATTTGTGTTCCAACAACATGTATATTTATGCATAGAAAAACCTGGTCCAATTTCTTGTCCAACTACCACTCCAGTTTCATATGCCCAAGCTCTAGACACATTACGTATAGTATAACCACCTCCTCCTAATATTAGCATCGGTATATTGAACTTTTTTACAAATCGTACACAATGTGCATGCCCTTTAAATGTTATTTTTATTTATTATTATTTATTTTGATAAATGGTTTTATTTCATTATTATTAACATTTTTTACCTTTGGATGATAAATTGAAACAACCAAGCCGATCACCACTTAATGAATCGGCTCCACATTGTAAAACAATTACTGAAGGTTGATACCATCCAATTACATATTCCACAACCTAAATAATAATCAATATATGTTTTTATGTTAAATCATAAATATAACTTTTTATATTTTAAATATAAAAAAAATTTCTATCTACCGGCTCAAACACAAATTTATATGTTTCATCATCAACCCCTTCTCTTAAAGGGAAATTTACTGCGTAATATTTTCCTTTGCCAATACCAACATCCTGTTTATGTTTAAAATAAAGGAAAAAGTGAATCAAATATCACAACATTAAAAAAGAATCAAGACCATCTGAAAAAAAAATTTTTTAAAAAAGAAAATTTCATATGATTCATTCTTAATTATGATAGAATAAAAACAAACATACATTGACATCTCCGGTTCCTGGAAAAAATTCTCCATAATTATGAAAACTCAGCGTCATCACTCGATCTGTTTTATAAAATGCCTCTTCTACACCATCTCCATGATGAATGTCAATATCTATATAGAGTACACGTTGATGAAACCTGTTGTTATCAATTAAAAAGAAAAAATATGTTATTTTTTAACCTTTAAAAAAAACTTAAATTTAAAATATTTTTCCATACTAGAATATATTATATTTTTTTATACCGTAATAATTCTAAAATAGAGATAACTATATCATTAACATAACAAAAACCACTAGCTTCTTGTTTTTTTGCATGATGTAATCCTCCTGCCCAATTAACAGCTATATCACATAATCCATAATTTAACCTTGCTGCACCCTCTTTTTAAAAAATGAACAACAATAATAATTTGATTAATATACATGGTTTTCCAAAGGAAATAATATTTTTTTTGCTATATGGGCTTCCCTTTGAAAAATAATTACCTAAAGATCCTCCTGTTGCTATTTTACAATAATCAAGTAATCCCATAAACACTGGACAATCTTCACCAACGTTGACTAAATGATTTATTTTTATCATTTATATTAAAAGCATAATACGTTAATTTGTATTTTTGACCTTTAGTAAACTAAGAAAAAGCATTATAAAAAATAATAAAATTACATACATTTAGTACATTCTTTAAAAAAATAGTCCTTATTATCTGGTGTAATTTTTTCCAAAAAATTTATATAATCATCTGTGTGAAATTGTGTTAATTCATCAAATGTACTTGGTCTAGGTCTCTATAAAAATTTTATTTTTAAATTATATTTATTTTTTTTTTTATTATTTTTTTTTTTTTTAAAAAAAATTTAATTTGAATAATTTACTTAAGGATTTCAAAATAACAACAATAATGATATAAAGAACTGCTAGAAGCATGATTCACATAAAGTTTAAAGGTTCAAAATAGATAGGATACAAAGATTTCCATTTTCTTGCACAATCCATATTTCATAACTAGATCATGAGTCATCCGTACTCTTAATGTTTTCATCGGATGATTTGAACCATGATCAAACCCAATGATATCATCTATATACAAAATAAATTAAGAATTGCTCCCATCAATATATATATAAATAATCACTCGATGTTTTATCAACAACTCCTTTCTGTAAGTTTACAAAAAATAATATCAGATAGTTACTTACAATCATAAAAATAGTTTATTCTTTTTTTTGTTTCGGTAGTCATACTTTTTTTAAAAAAATATCGTTCTATCTTTTAGAATATTTTCTTTTCTATCTAAATATTTAATTAGTTTTTTTTATAAGATTAGGTGCTACTATTGTACTTAATTTTTTTGTCAATTGGTCATCGATCATGGTGAAAAGTAGGGATGGGAACGGTTCAACCCAAACCGGTTCAACCGGCGGTTCGAAACCGAACCGATGCGGTTTGGTTTACACATTTCAAACCGCGGTTTATTGTGGTTTGCAAAATAGTTGATTTTTGCAGATCCGTGTTACCCATAATTTTTTTTTTACAAAATTCTCTTATTGCGAAAGATAAATATTATAAAACTCTTAATTTTAATATTTTTTAATTCAGTTTTTTATGAACTTTCCCTAATTAAACTTTATAATATAATCTATAGAAATCTCAAATGTGATTGAATATAAAATATTTAATGAAAAATAAGAAAATTTATATATATATATTTTATTTTCAATTGAAATTTTTTGAAATTTCATTGATCCCTCCCCAAAACTACCTATTTTTTGTGAACTTTTCCTAATTAGTATATACAATAAAATATATCAAAATTTCAAGTGTGGTTAAATGTAAAATATTTAGTGAAAAGTGAGGAAAACCATGTATTTATTGTTTTTTCTTTTTGATTGAACTTTTTTGAAATTTCCCAAAATTAGCAACACTATTTTCTAATTTTTTTGTGAACTCTCTTTAATTAGCACCTATAACATATTATATCAAAATTTCAAATGTAGTTAAATATAAAACATTGTAAGAAAAGACTGATGATAATGTTTTCCCAATGAAATCTTTTGAATAATAATAATTATTTTTCAAATTTTGTTTAGCCAGGGATGGATGAACAAGATATTGTTTCAAGGGAATATTTAATTGGGATATGTTTTTTATGTCAAATCTGCCTTAGATGCAAAGTAGATCAAACTTTTCTAAATTATGATTGTGAATTGGAAAAAAAACCTGTTAAAAATGATTTTAATTCAAAAAAAATTTGATCCAACCTCAAATACTTTAAAAGGGCAACAAATACTTTTATTTAAAGAAAAAAATAGATATTATGGATATGGTTTTAGTTTCACCAAAAGTTTTTCTTTTTGTTTTGTAATAGCTGTAATTCAAACCTTCATAGATCAAAATATAAAATACTGTGGTACAGTTTGTAAAAATTCAGCAAAATTTCCTAGTGTTTTGAAACCAAAAGTGAGGACAGACTTAATTTGGAATACACTTTCTGGAGTTGTGGTTGATGAAGTTTTGGCTCTTTTATGGATAGATAATGGTCCTGTAACAATGCTTACTACAATTCATGAAATTACAAGTCCAAATTCTCTATTCTGAAATAATTCCTTGAATTCATCTCTAGCTTTGTCAATATCTCTGAATAATTAATTTTTCACAATGTTGATAATTTCTTCACTTGATTGCAAGTTGCCTACAAGAAAAGAAAGAATTAAGCATAAAAGTTTTCTCAAATATGGGTAATCTTGTTGTGATAACTTTCAAATTAACTACCCACCTTCCTAATATAGACATCTATAAGGTCAATGATTATCACATGGCTTTAAAAGTTTATAACTCCTTGTTAAAAAAGAAGGAAAAAAGTAAGCTGATAGAATTAAAACTAAATATCTAAGCTTCATTTCCATCGGTTTACTTATTAGAAAATCTTTGAGTTATAAGGCGGACCATTTTATATTAATATTAATATGTCTATTCGTAAAAATTTTGGAATGATTTTCCTTGTGATTTCCTAAAAGGCTGATGATTTTTTCGTGATACAGAAAATGACTTGTTGAATAAAATTCTGAAATTTTGTAACACAACAGGAAAAATAATTTTTTTTCTCAACATATCCACCGATTTTTGCAACATTTTAGGGCACATTTATAAAAATTTCTAAGGGGTTACTATATAGAATTAGAA